GGCGCCCGAGCCCGCAATGTCGGGCCCCAACGGTGACCTGGGCGTGCCGGTGGAGGCGGGCGCGGAAGGCGAGGACGACGGCTTCGGGGAAGCAGGTGACCCAGGGAGGCTGCTGAAGCGCCCTTTGCTTTCTTAGGGCTGCCCTCCTGGGAAGGGGAAGCGGGGCCGGGCTGGGGGCTTGGAAGGGACCGCAGAGCCCTCCCACCCCTCGCCCCTGGGTGCGTTGCGGCTGCAGGCGCCGGCCGGGGATTCAGGGCGAGCACCTGCGAGTGGGTCCCTGGAAACCGCAGCATCGGAGAGCTGCGGGCAACCGGCCCCGTTTTACAGATGGGGAAACTGAGGCCGCTTTGGGATCACTCGCCTTTTGGCATTTGCTGCAGCCATTTCCTGCAGCCCCTGTGGAGCCGGGGGCTCCTGAGGGGGTGGGGCGGGTGGGCCGTCTCGGTTTAGCAGGAGGGGCTGTCTGGGTGGGCGAACCCGCCCTGCTGAGTCAGCATCTCCTGCCACCTTTGCTGGTGTGACCCGGAGCCTTGGCGAATGTGACCTGCTTACAGAGCAGCCTGTTGCCTGCACAACCCTGTGGGGGGTTGGGGGTGGAGAGAGAACCATCAGCTCCCCTCTCACCTTGGGGAGCCTCAGTTTCCATATCTGTAAAATAAGAATAATGATTAGTGTTCCTGCATTGAGATGTGTCAGGGTTAAATGAAGAAAAACAAATGGAAATATTTAATAGGTTCAAAGCATGCAGGTGTTCGGTGAGTGGTTATTCTTCTCTTTGGTGTAATAAAGATTGATTTCTCAAGTCGGAGGGCAGGACTTAGTAAATGTGAGATAAGTATGGAGTCTGCTTTTTGTTTTGTTCCGGTAACAGCTTTATTGAGCCATAATTTCACATACTATACAATGTATCCATTTAAATTGTACATGTCAGTGGGTTTTAGGATACTCAGAGTTGTGCATCCCTCACAGTAGTTTCAGAACACTTCCATCACCGGGGTCTGCATTTAATAAAGAGGTAGAGCACCTCCCACAGGGTGGTAAGTGGTAGGCTCGCCGGTTTGCCCTGGGCACTGCAGGTGAACAGTAGCCAGACGTGTATAAGGAAGCCCGCAGTGGCAGGGAGAGCAATCAGGAAAAGCCACTCCGGTGTCACACTGAGTGGATGTTGGCAGATTCACAGGACTTAGTGCAGTGGGCAGGTGGCTGTCCCAGGCAGAAGGCAGAGGCTTAGCACTAGGAAGTGCCCTTGACACAGATCAAGCCTGGCCCCCAGTGGTGTGGAGACACCACCCGCCTCCCCCATCCTGCTTCGGGCCTGTGTCTCATGACACAGAATGTGCAGTGTTGATAATAATGACCGTCTACTAAGTGCTTGCTGTGGCCAGACCCTGTCTGAGTTCTTAATATATTGGAATCCTCACAACAACCCGGTCCTTATTCCCTTCCCAAAAGACGCAGTCACGTGCTGGGGTGGAGCGGAGCTGGGACTGAAAGCCAAGTGCCCCTGCTCCCTCTGAATCTTGGCTGTGCCACCAACCAGCTGGAGGATCCTGGATAGGTCCCTTCCTTCTTGGGCCTCAGTTTTCCCATCGGTACCACAAGGGGGTTGGACTCTTAAGATCCAGCAGGGACCTTCCAGGACTCTGTCCTCTGTGAGGTGTGCCAGCTCTGGCCGATGGTGCTCTTCCCCCAGAATGCAGACACACTTGCGCCCATATCCCAGACACACTCCTCCAGCCCTGGGCTTTTCCAAACACTGTCAGCCGCTTCCCCTTTTGTCCCAGGCTGGCAGCTGGAGTGTATCTGAGTCATGGGCTGGCTCAGAACCGGGTCCGCAGTGGGCACAGGGCCAGACCTTGGATCCTAAGGGACACTGTGCTGCTGAGAGGCAGGTCAGGAGTGGCCATGGAGGAGGGAGTGATGGTTTCTGGTGGAGACCAGGGAAGGCTTCTTAGAAGAGGAGGCGTTTTGAGCTGGTCCTTGAATAACTGTTGTGGTTGAGGCATTCTGAGCGGCAGAGACAAGTGAGTAAAGGCAGAAAGGCTAGAAAGTCAGAGGCTTCATTCACCCACCCGTCCATCCATTCATTCAACTAGTGCTTACTGTGTGACAATGAGGGCACCAGGGAGACAGCAGTGAACACAAGAACATTCCCTGTCTCATGAGCTCTATAGTCTGGTGGGGTAAGGACCGTGGAGGTGTGTGGAGGGCAAGGATTGGGAAGGCTCCCTGTGGCAACATCCATGCTGAGACTTGAAGGATGAGAGGGACTCATCCAGGAGAGGAGGAGGGAAGACGGAAGGAGGACGCATTGCAGACAGAGGCAGCAGCATGTTCAGGGGGCCCGAGGTGGGTAGAGGTGGGTAGAGGCTGGGGAAAGGAAAGGAAAGGAAAGGGCATGGGAGGTGGGGCTAGAGAGGGGGCAGGGCCTTGGGAGTCCGGGTGGTGCTCTTCCGTTCCGGCAGGGGGAACCTCAGAAGGGCTGGAGAGTAGGGCCTGCCTGGGGACGGAGGCCTTGATTGCCTGACTCAGGAAGGTGGGCTCTGGCCTCCGGGCAGCTGATGAAGGAAGTGGAGAGGAGACCTGGCACCAGGCAGGACACTGGCTGACCTCCCCCTGACCACCTGAACCCTAGAATAAAGGATGGTGCACTAAGGTATTATTTCTCCAAAGCCTTTCACTTTTGGTATCCACCCATTTTCCAGATGATGACACAAAGGGTCAGAAAGGAGTAGGGACTTGCCCAAAGCCCTTGTGTCCTGCAGGCCGGGGGACTGTGTGGGGGAAGGTGTCTAAGCCCTGAGGAGACCTGGAACCTTGGTTCTCTTTTTCCTTCCTCCCAGAATATGCTGCCATCAACTCCATGTTGGACCAGATCAACTCCTGTCTAGACCACCTAGAGGAGAAGAACGACCACCTCCATGCCCGCCTCCAGGAGCTGCTTGAGTCCAACCGGCAGACACGCCTTGAGTTCCAGCAGCAGCTCGGGGAGGCCCCTAGTGATGCCAGTCCCTAGGTTCTGGGAGCCCCCAACCAGCCCAAACCCTGCCTCCCTGGGCTGGGCTCTGGCCTGGGCACTCACCACCTGGCTTAGATACCTTCTCAAGGGCTGGCCTACAGGTCCCCTGGTGGGGTCTGCCTGCCTCAAGTCACCCTTCCGGTACTCCCCTTGGCATGCCTGGGCCAGCCCCCACTACCCGACATCCCCTCCTGGGGTCAGACGTGGGCCCACGACCCACCCACCTAGCCTGCCTGCCCAGTTCCGGGGCACTCCCCACTCTGCCCAGGCCTTGAGCGTCCATATTAAACGGGTCTCCAACAGCACTGTGCCTCTCCTCTGTATCCTGGGCGAGGACTCCACCAGCCCTCACAGGTGAACAGGGCAGTGGAGGCATTCCAGGCACTGATCATGTGCCGGCGACTCACGGGCCTGCTGGTAGGGTAGGGGTTCTTGGCCTTCTTGTATTTCTGGACACAGAGGGAGCCGGTGAGGCAGGGCTTCCTCCCTACCTGGTGCCCTCCTGGACAGCAGATTCCCCAGCCCAGCTGAGACAACATGGGACGTGCTGTGTGACCCTGTGGATACACTCAGCTTCTCTGGGTCCTAGGGTCTTTCCCTACGACAGCCAACTCTTGTTCATGCTGTGTAACCTTGCTCCAGGCCCCAGTCTTCCCAGCTAGCCAATCACAGGGTTGGTCTACCTCTAAGAGTTTTTTCAAATGGGGAAATAGCAGAACTAAAGAACCAACTCCTCCTGGGCCCCATTCGCTGATGATTCATCTTAGGGTCACCTGACGAAGGGCGGGCCCCTGCTACTGAACCACAAACTCAGAACCAGAGGACAGGGAGGCCCCCTATGCCTACACTTCAGTTTCCAGAGTCCAGCTGGAGAGACAGGCCAGCACAGGGGTCCAGAGCCCAGGCCTGGGGCAAATCCTGGCCACTCATCAGATGTATGACCTCTAGCAAGTCACTTGACCTTGCTAGGCCTCAGTTTCTTCACCTATAATTTGGGGACCACAATAAGACCTGCCCCCTAGGGTCCCTGTGAGGGTTAAATGAGATCTGAGTTGAAGGTGAAGGCGCTCTCCTAGCCCTGATAACCCCATTAAAGAGGGAAACAGGCTGTGAGAAAGTGCCTTGTGACCCCAAAGGCCCTGCTTGGGGAGCCTGCCTGTGGCCTTCCGGCTCGGCCACCACACCATGCCTAAAGAGGGTGGGTGTTGGCTGAGAGCGGGCTGGGGTGTCCCCTTCCCCCATCCACCCAGACAGAAGGGCTGGTGGGCACTGTACGGCCAAACTACCTTCTTTTATTAGATTTTCCGTAAAAACACCAACCATGTCAGAACTTCCACATGAGACTTCTAAAAAGCATAGCAGACTTAGACCCAGACGGGGTGGGCCTGAGGCGCTCCCTCTATTAGGTTTTGAGGCGGGTTGAGCGCCGCGGCAGTGGGGGCGGAGGGGGTTGGGCTGTCACCTTGCCAGGGGTTTTAGCTGTGTCCTGGGTGCTGGGCTGGGTGGGTGTGCGGCCGCCAGAAGTGAACAGAGCAGTCAAGGCGTTCCGGGCGTTGATCGCACACCGGCGGCTCACGGGCCTGCTGGTAGGGCTGGGGTTCTTGGCCTTCTTGTATTTCTGGGCACGGAAGGTACAGATGAGGCAGGGCGTCCTGCCCACCTGGTACGCTCCCTCCCAGCAGCTGCCTCCCCAGCCTGGCTGAGACTGCTTCGGACATGCTGTGACCCTGCGTGTGTGTGACCCTGTATGATGCACTCAGCCTCCCGGGGCCAGAGCTCTGGAGCTAACAGCCTGGCCCTCAGCTCCGCCCAGAACAATAGCACAAAGAGCGGGGCCCCACCCCTGCTCAGGTTCCCTCCGTGGGCTGAGGCCAAACCCAGGAGGGAGGTGGCTGCTGGCCATGCCCGGCAGCTAGGGTGGGCGGGTGGGGCAGGAGGCCCGGCTCACCTGCAGGTTCTCAAAGTGGGCCAAGGACTTGCAGTGGGAGAGCTGGGCCCCCGAGTTGCTGTGGTAGAACTTGTGGCAGATGCGGCAAATGTAGCCCATTACGGGCACCAGGAAGTCCACACCTGTGGGGCGGCAGCGTCATGCACTTACCCCCATGCCAGCCCGGTGGCCCTCCCTCTCTAGGGGCCTGTTTGCTCGCCCACCCTCCAGGTGGGAGGAGAGAAGAGCACAAGGGGAGAGGCTGCCTGGCCTCTCCTGCAGGCGCGGGGGTCAGGGCTAGGGTCTTACCGTATGCGGTATTGGGGCTGTAGGTCTCTGAGCCTTTCCACTCCTCTATGGATATATCTCTGGACCTCACCTAGAAATATGCAAGTGTGGGCCTTGGTTCAAGCTTCCCCTGAGCTCCTCCCAAACGCAGGTGGGGCCTGGTTTCCACCCACACTCTTCAACACCACCCCCTTGATGCCCAGGAGGAATATATCCAGGAGGTTGTGGGTGGCATTTGCACATGCTGATCCTGCCAGATTGCCCTTCCCAATCTAGACTTTTTGAGTTCAGCTCAATCAGTCCCCTTCTGCAGGAAGCCCTCCTGCTTCCACAGTGACCATAATCCATGCCAGGTGTGCCCAACACATCACGAGTGTCCTCTCTGAATCCCGTAACAACCTTCCTGGGTTCACCCATCTTACCTAAGAGGAAACTGAGGCCCACGCACATTAACTCACTTGCGCAGGGTTTATAGAGGAGCAGAGTAGTTAACCCTGGTGAGCCCTAGCCCTGGTTACACTCTTAACCACGAGCCCCCTGCCAGCTCCCTGAATTCCTGATATTGCAGTGACCTCAGTCCCAGGGGAGCTGGGTTTCAGGTGATCAACGACTCGTCGTCTCACCTGCTGGACGAGAGCCCCTTCCGGACGAGGCCATCTGACTCCAGCCACGGCAGCCCCACCACACTTAGCAGTGCCCTCCTCACTTACCAGGCAAATGTGCCTTCCAAGGGCGACAACCACTCCCCTTTGCCACCCTGGGCTTTGGCCCACCCTCACAGCCTGAGCTGGGACTGTTACTTCTAAGCAGAACAGCTGGGGCTCAGAGAAGCTGAGGGGCTTGCCTGAGGTCAGGCCAGTGCTGATCGCATGTAACGAAGTGGCCTCACCCCAAACCTGCTTAGGGCTGAGGACCGCCCTTGCACCCCTCCATCCACAGCCCCTCCACGTGCCCCTGGGGCTGCCCCTCAACGTGCCCCTGGGGCTGCCCCTCACTACTCTGGACTGGCAACGGGCAAGCTCCGGGCGGGCGCGGGCCTTGACCCCCACATATCCCCATGTCCAGCACCAGGGCCTGGCTCAGAGCAGCTGCTTTTCATTTCTTACACGAAGAGAACCCAAGCTCCTCCAGCTCCTCGCTCGTGGGAGGGAGCTGGGGCATTAGGAGCAAGGGCTCTGGAGTCTCGCTTCCTGGCGTCCAAGTTGGTGAGATTCAGCCAGGAAAGCGCTCGGTACGTGCCTGGCATATAATAAATGCTCAGAAAGGGTTGGCTGCTACTTCATCGTCATCCTCATCTCGTGCTGACTCTTCTGTGTACCCCGCATAGTTCTCTCCATGCCCTTACTGGCCTAAGACGCCCTTTCCCTCCCTCAACACAGGTCAAGATTTCAGCCAGGCTTCGAGGTCCTGTTGCTGGCCACCCTGCCGTCCTCATGATGTGTATTTACACCTAGTCATAGGGAATACAGTCCTGTTCACACTAAATCGTGGCATGCCTTAGTGCCTACAAACGTCAGCACCGTGGCCCCTGGCCCCTGGCCCCTGGGAGGTGGGGTGAGGTCCCGCCCGGGCTGGGAGTCCCGCCTCCAGCCTGCCTCCCACGCCCCCTCTGCCCCCCAAGCACCTGCTTGCAGAATTCCTCCTCAACCTCGATCTCTTCTTCTTCATCCTCCTCCTCCTCCTCCTCCTCTTCATCGCCCTCAAAGCAGCCCACAGCGTCCACCGTGATGAAGTGGTCCTCATCCTGACCGGCTATCTCCTTCTCGAGCATCTTCAGCTGCCCAGGGGAATGGGCCAGGGCTCAGGTCAGCTCTGGGCAGACGAGGTGCCAGCCCACCCCCACCCCCGAGAGTCCCAATCCCTCCAGACCTGCCGAGTTCAGGCTGGGATAAACCTCAACCCGCTGTGTGGCCTCGGCCCAGGCTCTGTGCCTCTCTGGGCCCATGTCCTCCGAGGGAGCTGGGGGTTACCTCCTTGGCTTTGTCCTTGTGCCCCTGGGACTTCACGTGCTCCACAAACTTGCGGGGGGTCTTGAAATAGCGGTTGCAAACAGTGCAGAAAGGTCGCAGGGATTGCTTGGCGATCTGACGAAAGGAGGGCAGGCCAAGTGGGTGGCGGGCGGTGTCCCCAGGGGCAGCCAGGCTGTGCCCAGTGACACCTCCTCTCCCACCTGCAGGCCTCCATATCTGTCATCAGCTGGCTGTGCTCCGCCCCTTTCCCAGAACATGGGCACACACAGCCCCTCCCTGTGCCGCGGGCTTCCAGACGTGTCGGCAGGTGGCAATGGAGGACAGAGGCAGGGCGGGGAGAGACAGGAGCTGCCAGGAGGACCCCCACAAGCCCCGTGGCAGGGAGACAGCACGTGTGGGCGCCCTCGCAGCTCATACCTTGTGGTCCTGCGTCCTGCGGTGTTGGATCAGGTCCCCCATGTAGTAGACCTGGCAGGTGTTACACCAGCGCCTCGGCGGGGGCTCTCTGAATGGTGACAATTAGAACAAGGAGTGTGACACTGCCCTTGTTGGAAAGACAGCCGCTCTCCCAAGACGCTCCATAAATGTAATGCAACTCCAACACGTGTTTTTAGAAACTTAACAACGGTTCTGAGATGCATCTGGAAAAATAACTTAGACAAGAATAATAACCAAGGAAGCTTGGTGGGGTGTGGGGAGATTTAGAAGCATCTGGGATCCCAGGAGGCCAGCAGGACAGTGACACACCTGAGCATATCTGGCCCTGAAAACTCTTTATCCTTCAGTTTAGATGCCCTGTAGTTCCTGGAGCTGTTCTTGCCCCGCCCCCTACTCCTGGGCCTGCCCCCTACCTGTAAGCCAGACTCTCCCCTGGCACCCCAAAGGGCCATCGCCACAGCATTTTCTACAACGGACAGGGAGGACCTGATCCCTTCTCTGCCCCCGCTGAACCGCGGTGAGCTCTGGGAGGCCAGGACTCCCAAAGTCCCAGGGCCAGGCACGGGGTCGGCCCCAAGTTTCTGACTGCATTGGAGGAAGGACAGGCAGCCTATCGGAAGGACTGCCATGCTCTGTGTGGCCTCAGGGGCCCCAGTGAGGCTTCAAGGGGAGACGGTTCAGT